GGTGGGGCTGCCTTTGGCAAACCAACTCTGTAGCGTAAGGAAGCCAGGTAGCTGAGAGAGTGGGGGTGATGTGGTCAGATGAGTTGGGATGATCCGGGCAGCAGAGTTCTGGATTATTTGCAGTCTATTGAGGAGCTTGATGGGAAGGCCAGTCAGAAGTGCATAGCAGTCATCAATGAGTGGATCAGGATTTCAGTGCTGGGTTGGGACAGAGATGAGCGGAGTCTGGAGATGTTCCAAAGATGAAAGACAACAACTAATATGAAGGATGTATCAAATGTGGATAGAGAATTAAACCATTCAGCTGTCTTTGTCGTATTTTATTTCTTGCAAGAAAGTTCAGTCAGTCATACAGAGAGCATACAGAATGCAGAGTGAAAGACGAAGGATAGAGTTTGGGTTGCATATTCAAACACAGAGAGCGATAATGAAAGGAGCATTCTGGGAGGTAGGGAGGACATATCAGGATGTTTTCAGTTCACCTGAGTTGAAGGTCATACTGTTGGTGCACAAAGAGTGTAACTAACAACATTGCAACAAATCTTCTTAATAAGGAATGTTCCCAAGCTTAGCTAAGAAGTGTGAGAAGTAGTAAATATAGATAAACATTAGCAAATAAGAATCACACTATAATATTATTTAAGTAAGTGAGTATAATATGTTTCTATTACACATGCAAGCATTTTTAGGGCACCATTTCCAGAGGTAGCTGCCCAATGTGCCACAGTCGCATAGCTCTCACCACTGAGCAGCAGCCCTCAGGAGTTCCTTGCACATAAGGTCATCTAAGCAGGAGCTAATGACAGAGAGAATATCACCCTTCTGCTTTCATCAAATCGTCTTCGAGCCGGTCCAGAGCTGCAACCTTTAAACATCATAAATGAAAAGGTTGCTTTCTCCAGCTTCTATTGGACTGCTGCTGCTAGGAATTGCTTCTCATAAGCCAGGTTTCCATCCAATCTTCCCGGATATTTAAACCAAATGAAGAGAACATCTGCAAAAGAAAATGTGAATTTATGCTTTTTTCCAACCACTTTTCTTATCCAATTATTAAGATGGTTTTTATTAGGATTTAACTTCACCAGCATAAATAGGGCATTGCGTAATTACAGTTAAAGATTGCGAGTCAACCATCAAAAGGTGAAATGACAACGTATACAACTGGTTGAACATTTCTGTTGATTTCATGTATAAATGTGAGGACGGTTACATCAGATATGTGTGGAGCGATGACGATTTTGTATCCCTTCAGCGGAGCAGTAAGTCACATTTTTTCATGGATGGCTTCATTAGTTCACAAATGTTGTTTCCCTTTCAATAAGTTGCATTTTGCTTTGGTTGATAACATCTTTTCAACCTTATTTATGTTGTTTCAAGTTCTAAAAAACTCACATTATAATGACAAACCTTTGCTACCATCCCTTCTGTTGCTTTTAAATATGAACAGTTGCTATTAAATGGAAATATAATAAAGCCCAATTTCATCTTAACAACAAAACATCACATTTGTTCATATGAGCAGCATCTTCTAGATTATGTATGAAGGGTAATTCCAATACAATAAACTTAATCTATTCTTATGTTTGATTTCTGTACATCTCCACAGGCTCAATCCCTTTAAATATCAAAGGGCTGGCTGTGGTCTAACTAGAAGGACATTTATTTAAGCAGTACTGGTTGTGAGATCATTCACATTCCTCTCCATACCCCAATGTTATCAGCACAAACCAGTTAATAACATTTACCATCAGCTTTGTCTTTTATTCAGCTTCTTTATCTGAATGGCATGCTAATGGATTCATGTTAGTGCTACGGACTCTTGGACAAGGATTCAATTATAGTCAGATCAAAGATACACGACAGCAAAGAGATGAATGTGATAAATAAAAATCTGTTTTTCTGTATTAATATTCCAGTAAGGGGAATCCAGATGCTATTATTATGGAAATAGCAGATTGAACTCAGTATTTCCATTATCTTGTCCTCTTATTGCTTTTGCCATGCATGTCTTTTTAGCAAAATATCCCATTTTGCGAACAATATGCTTATTGTTAGTTATCCACTGTGATGCAGGTTTAATGAATAGCCTCATACACTCTGTCATATTTAATTTGAACTGAGGAAAACCTGCATGTTCTGTTGGAGGTTCATCAGTAGAGGGCAGTGTGTGAATGTGGTTGGCTAATGTCTGGTAAATGCAAAAGTGAGTGTCTGACCATGATCTGGATATTTGGATATCAGTATATACTAGAAATATAGAAAACGATCAGATTTCTGTCGTAGCCTGCAAACAACATCAGTACGCTAAACATGCAAAGCCAGGGCTCCATGTGCATTAAGCTTCTCATGAACCATCATATGAGCAATGACCCGTGAAGGTAGAAGATGACTGTATAAGGGATATAAAGATTGTGTCGCCATGAAGACATCGCAAACTGTAATTCAACCGCGGTCACCTCTCGACCACGCTGTCACTCTCTATGTGTGTCTCTCCCTCTCTCGCCCTCTCTCTCTGGCTCGCTGTGCTGTCTGCAGAGAATGCAGGTTGCCCCTGACAACAGTTGCTAGGAGACCATTCTGGAGTGACTTCATAGCATCGGGCACGCTTACGCCGTGGCTCACGATGAATAAAACCAATTCGCCGTTCCTTCAAACACAAATGTGCTTTGAAACGGGGGGGAAACTCCATCAATGTACACAGACTGTATGCAGTGGGCAGAGAGTGGTCTCATGTTAGTGCTGCGCTCTGCTGTTCCTGGCTGCTTTCAGATGGGTTATTGTGGGAGAAGTGTAATTGTAGTCAGTTTGATGGCCATTTTTGGTGGAATCTGAAGAAAAAAAAAGATTTTTTAATCAGTCCGAACACAAAACGCCTCTTCTTTGGTGGAAAGAAGCTATGGAAATGAGATCGATTAAGTATTCTCTCGCTCTCTTTCTCTGTCGCTGCTATTCTCTCTTGCCCACTCTCTCTCTCAATCCCTTATGTCCTTCCCCTGCAAAACCCTGCTCACATTACCCTCTACCATCCATCTTTCTCACCCTCTAATTCTCTGTCTCTCTGCAGTGGTGAGATAAGATGTTTCTCCCTCTGAGCTGTGGTGAGGTGTGAGAGAAGAGGGGCTCTCCTCTCTGCCTTTAACTACCTCCAGCACTGCAGGCCAATGAGAGCAGCCACACATAACAAATGTATATCTCTGC